ATATAAACTTACCATCCAATTACTCCCCTCATCCGTCTTATTCGTCATGAGATCCGAGAAAATCGCAACCGCAGCATCATACTGCTTAGCCTGAATCTGGGCGGCCAATTCATTCATCTGCTGGATAGTATCAGGCTTGAGCAGGTCCTCGTTATTGAGATGGTCAAATAGGATATTGAGGCGCTTCTCCGTGTCAGCAACGTGCTGTTTGTATTGAGCTGGTGCCTTGGCTTTGACGCGTTGGAGGTCTGCGTCGAGGATCTCGTAGATGGGGCGCGAGGCGTCGGGGATGTGGGATCGGTCGCCGGGAGCTAGTTGCAGGGGTTAGATTGAGATGATTCTTGTGTGTGGTTTGGGGAGTACTTACGGTACTTGGGCGCTGCTTGCGCTGCCGCTTGCGATTGTCCGGTGCCAGGTCGGGAATCGGGCCTTGGTGGTCCGCCCTGAGGACCGCCTGGAGGACCACCTGGTGGAGGTCCTGCACGCGGAGGTCCTTGAGGCGGGCCCCTTGGTGGCGGTGCTGCGGCTGCAGGTGGCATTTGCTGCACAGGCGACGGTGCGTATGCTGATCCTACGGGTGTGAACTGGCCAGGAGGAGGCGCAATGTTCCGTGGCGGTGGCATTCCGCCCATTGGTCCAGGGGGAGCCGATGGTTGTGAGCCTGGAGCAGGAGCGTAGCGGTTCGATGGCGGAGCGGCAGCAGTTGGTGGTTGGTATGGCGATGCTCCACGCTGTACTGGTGCCTGCTGTGGAGGTGCAAAGCCAGCAGGCGGAGCGGCATAGTTGTTTGACGCTGGCGCTGGTGCGTATGGGTTCGGAGCACCAGTTGGGGGTCCAGACGGAGGAGAAGTCATCCGGGGAGGGCCTTGAGGAGGACCCTTTGGAGGAGGTGGAGGTGTCGACCTTGCTCCTGGAGAGAATGGACCTTGAGGTGGACCTGCGAGGGGCTGCTGCTGGTTCGGGAACGGAGAAGCTACAGTGTTCATAGGAGTGCCGCGACGCGAAGCTGGCTTGGGGGGACCGAAGTCTGGTGTGTCGTTCCAGGCAGGAATACTGCCTCTGTTGGCTGCTGGCACGATTGATGGCGAGTTTGAGAAGTTGCGTGGCGGAGGTGCGATTCCTTGTTGGGGCGCTGCGTTGTAACCATAGCCCTGAGGCTGAGATGGCTGATAACCAACCGGTGTGTACGAGTTGCCGGGTGCTGCTGCTGGTGTGAATGTTGACGGTCCAGTGGGCTGGGCTTGCGAGGATAGTGGGTTGACTGGAGCATAAGGTGACGCTCTTGGTTGCGTTTGCATAGGGTTGACCGGAGCGTAGGGCGTCTGCTGGGGCGGTGCCGGTGTTGCTTGTGCAGGCTGTCCATACGACGGGACCACAACTTGACGACGACCAGCAGTGGTTGACTGGGCCTGTTTTTGTGCTGCCGCTGGCTGAGCTGCAACCTTCCTGGTGGCTTGCTTGACCCGGTTCCTGGCAACGTCTGCCGCTGGATACTTTTGAGGCAGGAGATCCAGATACTTCTCCGCAATTGCGAGCTGACCGTGGGCAGATGCAATGTCAGCGTATTCAACGTACTTTGCATACAAAGGCTCGAGTTTCCAGTCGTCCTCCTTCTGCTGTTCGGCATCCTTGAAGTTGGTGACCTTTCGGAATACCGTGACCTTCTCGATGAACTCCTGTAGTGATCGTGCGTGGATAGAGAAACTGTTGTCACCGTCGGTTTGCTCAATGCCCGCCTTCTCGCTTTCTTGGAGCTCCTGTGCCCAGTTGACAACGACCTTCTCGAGCTTGGAACCAGCCAAGTAGCAGAAAGACGCATCTTTTCGGTACGTTCCTTCCTCTTCAGAGATGGCTTCCTCGAGACGGTCTCCGAGAGCCTCGCAAAGGTCGGGGAAGTCGGCCTGGTCGGCAAATGTGCAGATGGTGGCCATGACTTCCTTCCAGTCCTTGAGGTCAGCGTTGTATACGAAGTCCCATAGATTCTTTCCGACCACTGACGCAAGCAAGCGCAGGTAGTTGGGTGCGTCAGACTGTCTCTTGAAGTATGCAGCCTGTGCCTTGGCGATGCATTTCTCCCCACCGCAAATGGCAATCATGAAAGCATCTGACAGTCGGTTCTCCTTTAGGCACACGTCCAACGCCGCGTTGAAGTCACCAAGCATGAGGTTGCGGGTGATCTTGGTGTCAGCTTCCGACTCGGAACCAGTGTAGATCTGGAAGGGGTTGTTGGTCTTCGCGCCCTTGGAAGCCGCGAGATCGGACAAGAAGTTGCCCTCGTCTGTCGCATTGTCGAAGAACGAGGACCCCTCGTCTGCATCGCCGTTTGTCTTCTCCTCCTTCTTCTCTTCTTCTGGCTCTTCATCCTTGTCAGAGAAGCCTAGGTACTCGACAAGCTTGCTTCGCGGGTTCTCCGACGTGAGGGTCTCAATTACCGTCCAGTCGGCCTTCTCTTCCTCATTGGCTGCCTTGGCAATCTTCGACTCGCAGATTGCGGTAATGTCGCCCTTATCTAGAGCCTTGTCGAACTCTTCGCTTGCCGCGCTGACGTCCGAGTCTACAGCAAATGTGGAGATAGAAATCTTGGATTTGTTATCGACGATGCCGAATCGCACCAGCTTTCCACCAAAGCCAAAAGCCACACCTGCTCTCCTCTTCAGCCACTTCGGGGGTGTCTTCAGAGAGAAAGATGCGCCCTGAGGTTCTGCGTGAGTCTGAGCGAAGAAGTCCTCGCCTGCAGGCGCCTCCGTCGCGGCCTTGTTCTGGTCCGCGCCAGCCCCAGTGTTTTGTAGTGTTTGAACTGCGATCTTGCCGTCGAAGGATGCGGTCGCGAGGAGGTTCGGGTTCGAAGGGTTGAATCTGGTCTGGAAGGTCCAGTTTGTCACGACTGGGAATTCGCCCAGTTGCTCGCCGGTGTGCGGGTTCCACGCAATCGTCCTGTTGTCCTTGCCGCAAGACAACAAAAGGTCGCTGTCTTGAACACACCACGAAAGCGACAGCACGCCCTGGTCGTGTGCCTGCAGCGTCTTCTCTGGCGCATTGGTGTTGCGTAGGTCCCACACCAGCACGAGCGGGTTCTGGTCGGTCGGTATAGCGGTGACTAGTCTCGTGGGCACATTGGGGTCCCAGGAAACCGCGCTGACTGTTTTCCGTCCATAGTGGTTTAATGTGAGGTTCTCCTTCTTGAGCTTGACGTCCCAGACGGTGACGAAGCCGCCGCTGCTGCCGGTGGCCAGGATATGCGCAACCTTCTTATTCCAGTCCAGTGTAGTGTATTCGTCGGGGTTCGCTCCAGCCTTGCCGAGGCGGAAGGACTTGGAGTCGTCGGCGAGGTCGTGGACGTAGAGTTCGCCCTTGGCACCGGCCGAGGCGAGGATGTTGGATCGGAAGGGGTTGAACTGTATCGCCTGGATGGGGCCGGTGTGCTTGTCGATCTGGTCAATTTCCGCATCGTCGCTGCATAACGTCAGCACTCTGTGGTTGCATGCAGCTGTCCATGCGCTCTGACCCTTCGCCTGCCTGCAGCTTCTCAGCGTCCCATAGCACGAGTGCCCCGCTGTCGAGTGCGCCCGCTATTATGCCCCGCGGGTACTGTTCGCTGGGTTGACTCCACGCAATGTCGTTGAACCTGGCATGTCGTTTAGTTCTTTGGTCCCAATGGCTTAGGAATATCCTCTAGTACCTCGACTCTACGCTCACAGTAGCAACGGGCTTGAGTTCGACGCCCTGCTCACTGTCGTCCAACTTGAGCTCCCAGAGCTCTAATTGTGTTTCATTTGAAAAGTCGGCATCTACAGCCCCAGCCTTGGTTCCAGTAGCAATCAGGGGCTGCGTCGGACCTGGCGACCAGGCGAAACAGGCGGTCCGGGGGATTTCTCGTAGGCGGACCATGACGGTGTTGGGCGGTGATGGCGCCGCGGTGTCAGATTAGCGAATTGGGGAATACGGCACGAACAAAATGATGGACAAGGGAGCGGGTTTTGTAGAGGGCGACGGGAGGGTTATGTGGTGTTAAAGAGCGTCCGCAATGTGTCTTGAGCGCGGACTGGGTGTTGAGGCAACGACGTGCTTCACCATGGACCATCCACCTGTCCTTCCCTGGTCCATGGCGGGCGCGCCAGCCAAGGTGGGTCCCGCTAACCACGTGATATCGAATTTCAGCGCGCAGTCAAGAGAACACGACTATCCTACCACCAAAGCCGCAAATCGCATTCCACAGGCAACCATGTCGAATTTATCAGACACGTCACGACTAAAGGCCACCGTGTTCGTCGGCGGCCTCGACCAGGCAGTCACCCAGCAGACGCTTTTCCACGCCTTCCTGCCTTTTGGCGACATTGTCGAAGTCAACTTGCCCAAACCGGAGAACCAGAGCCAGGGCGATCAACATCGGGGGTTCGGCTATGTTGAGTTTGAGACTGCAACCGACGCGACAGACGCCATCGACAACATGGACCGGAGCGAGCTGTACGGTTCCGTCATCAAGGTAGCAGCAGCCAAGCCACAGAAAGACGCGAATGAAGGTCTAGGCAGCAAGACCGCCATCTGGGAGCAGGTACGTTTTTTCTAATCTGAAAAACTACGCGTCTGGTATGCTAACAAAATGCAGGAGGGGTGGTTGGCCAAGCATGCCGTGAGTGAGGAGGATCGCAAAGCAAGTGAGCAGATTCAAGAGGAGGCGAACGGGCCCATGGACCCTATGCAGGGCCTGGAGGGTCTTGACGAGGCTGGACCGAAGCCAGTGTAATCTCTTTGGTTCTTTGGTCTCATAGCATGGCGTTTGCAGGCGTTTGGGAAACATTTGATACCAAGTGCTGTCTCGTGCATATCATATCAACTACACATTCAAACCCACGACACAACACAAAGGGATCTCATGCTTGATTATCGAACGTGACTCGGACTCTATCCCGTATGCTGTACCTATACACAATGGCTGCTGGAGCCCTTCCAAGCCCGCCGATTCCATCTCTCCAATATCCTATTCCTCACCAACTGGACATCTAGTCCTGCTTGCCCTGTCGCTTGAGACGGAGCGTCTTGTCGACCCAGAGTTTCCGGGTGATGGAGAAGAAGGCCATGCCGACGGCGATGCTGTAGATGTATTAGACTACGTGTTATGAGGGTATGAGGGTATGAGGGTATGAGGGTGTATGCGGGCGCAATGGAGGGGCTTACGCGAGGACGACGACTAGAGTTTGGGTCAGCCAAGGGGGGGAGTAGTTACTGGGGAGGGGGCAGACGTACTCAGAGGCCAGATCTCAGTGGGGATGTTCTTGAGCTGGCGGATGCGCTGGGATACGGTGTGGGCTACATGGTCAATCGTCAATTCATGTTCGATGGCATAAAGTGGATGCTGTGATTGGCTTACCGCCGTGCTCCTCCTTCTGCAGTATAGTCAGCATCAAGTTCGCAGAAGATGGAAGGCGGCGAGGCATACGGGGACGGGGTTGCGCAGGCCCATTGTCTGCCTCATCATGAGCTGGGGGCTCTGGCGCATGGCCATCATGCGCGTAGGTTGCATGGCCGCCATGCGTGTCGGCTGCATGGCCAACATACGAGTTGGCTGCATGGAGAGGGCGCGGGTGGCTTTGAACATGGTGGCGGTATTGCTGACTTCGCAATTGGGGTGGAGGATTGTTCGTAGACGTTGTCGTGGGGGTGAATCGAAGGACGTCTTCGCGGGCTTTCGTCACAGTGAGGCACGCAGATGCTGAGAGAGCTCGCGGGCCCTGTCGCCCGGAAAACGCCGAGCGAATTGTGTGTGGACAATGCGTTTCGGGTCGAACCATCGCAACCTCACAACTTCACTTCCGTCACCACTTCGACTGCACACGCCCGCCTGCCATTGCCGCCACGCTCACGCCCGAACCACGCCCAATCCCCCATCGCAATCATGTCTGACAACGAGAACGGCGAGAACGGCGACGAGCTCGTAACCAAGCCCTTCAAGTTTGTCACTGGTGAGCTTTTCCCGCACCTCCGCATTAAGAGCTTCAATCGCTAATCTGCCGCCGCACAGCTGGTACGCCTTCCCCGGACTTGCACTGCGCCCTGCACCGCCTGCCAAAATGACGCCTGGAGCTTGAGATGGGCCGTATTGGGTGCTAACATGCTTCGGCGCATATAGGCTTCGATGCCCGCTTCCCCAACCAGAACCAGACCAAGCACTGCTGGCAAAACTACGTCGACTACCACAAGTGCATCATCGCCAAGGGCGAGGACTTTGCTCCCTGCCGCCAGGTGCGCACCCCGGAAGCGTCGCATTGAAGATGGGCATGCATACTGATTGATATAGTTCATGTTGGCCTACAAGTCCCTGTGCCCCAGTGGCTGGACATCGCGATGGGACGACCAGCGTGGTGAGTATCTGATTCTGAACCATCTGTCCGCATGCGCAACGGACTTTGAAAGAGCTATAGCTAACACAAGATATAGAGGCTGGCAACTTCCCCGTAAAGCTCGACCAGTAGAAAGCTCGCGACAACACCCAGCATGCGACAGTTTCTTAGAGCAGGACAGGATCGGATCAGAGTGGCATTTGCAACTTAGAGCCCTGTATCATAGCGATCGATATCAGCAATGCGACTCTGGTCTATCTACTTTGCCACCCCACTGCACCGCTACCTCGTGATGTCATGACCCCCTTCGCGTGACACCATTAGTCTTCCCGTCGTCTGTCTAGTCCTGCATATCTCCTGCATACTGTAGACACCGTCGTACGACGTATGCGGACCTGATGTTTCAGAACTCGCCATATAAACTTCATCACATGCATATGCACGCCGATCGAACCAAGTCTCCTAGTGTCATACATTATCATTCAGAGTGTGCTCGATATACGAGATATGTAGTGAGTGTAGCCAATTTGCAGTAAAGTTGGGACTTTCTATCCTGTACAGATAAGGGGATGATGTGGTGAATCGCCGCTTGTGTGCAAAAAACAACGCTAAGGTGACAAAGGGACCAAAGAGGACCAAGAAGGAACAAAGTGACCGCCCAGTTGCGCCAGCAAGGCCAGACCGCTAAATGCATGCAAGACCTGCTCTGCTATAAACAATCGTGAAGAACTCAGGCGTATCAAGCCGAGTAGGTAAGGCTGTGTGGTTAGATTTGGGGTATATCGAGCGATGGGAAAGAGGACTAGTTCGCGGTCGGATATGCGTTCACTGCGAAATTGCCGAGATACGTCGGTCCTCTACATGCTCGCAGTGAGCATGTGGGCAGAGGGATCCAGGACTGATACGGCTCAGTGCCCAGCATAATCTCATGACCCTCACATTGAAACCGCTTAAGAGCCCAATTCGGATCGTCAGTCCGTAGGTCTTGCTCCTCCTCTTCCTCTTCCTCCTCGGCGATAGCGTCATCGCCATGAGCGCTATCCTTGCGCCAGTGCTTTCCCTGATCCAAGACCTCACCAATACTAGATAGCGAATCCGGCGCTGCCGCAGCTGGCTGGTAGGAAGCATCGTAAACCTGGCGAGTATTCGGGTCCATGAGGCAATCGAAGCCAGTCTGTAGCGCACGGTACTTCTTCGCGTCGTTGGCAAAGTACACACCTCGTAGACGGCGATACGCAGCTCTAATCTCGTCGGTGGTGGCCTTGGGAGTGAGTTCGAGGATAGCGTAATGATCGACAACGTCGGAGGGGTCGTTCGTCGGCGAGGCCATGGCTGGGCCTTTGAGAGTATAGCATCCCTCTGACACGTATATCGAGGATCTTTTCGTGTGCTGCACCATTGGAGAGTTGTCTGCTACACTAATGGGCCGGGGGCGTTGGATAGCTTCAGACTGGTTGCGCCCGTGGTTGTTGAAACGTTTGCGCGGAGAGGGCGATCGCAGTGGGCTGAAATTTATCTTGCACATTTGCTCGGAAGGAGGTTGAAAGCTGGGAGTCGGAGACATTGTGGTGTATGTGTGGGTGGTCATTATGTACTAGCAATAGCAAGGTGGGTGGGTGCGTCGTGTGGTAATGATAGAGGATGTGCTATGTGGAGTGGGGTGGGCGCTGTTCAAAGTAGAGATGCTGTTGTTGTGTGAAGACGCAGTGTGGGAAAACATTGAATGATCAGGACATGTCCTAGACCACATGGACAGGGCAGCATGGTGGCTGCGCACAATGCAGGGGATAGGTGCAATCACAGGGGGGCACAGCAAGTGGAGCTCTAGGCCGAATCGCGAAATGAAGATGTTGTGAATGGAGTAATTAATCAAACAACGGGCTAGGGGGGTCGGCGCGATGAAACAGAATGCAGCAGACCAATGCCAAAGGGTCCAGCGCGGCACTGGTAGGCTGTCAGTGCTTCGGCGTAACACGTGCGGACGTGACGAATGACTCCGCGCTAGTAGGGCCGTTGGTGTGGAGATCTCGCTAAGATTTCAGTCGCCGCGACCGTTGGCCCAGTGAGCTTGAGATAGCATAGCATAAGCTGATAGACGTCCCACCATGGCCGATAGCTCGAGGAAGAGAAAGCAGCCTGCCCACACGGGCCCTGGCAATCCTGTTAAACGCACCAGATTTCAGCAACGACCCCAGTACGTCATCCCCGCCGTTTCGACTAGCAACGCGTACCCCAATGGCGAGATCAACGTCAAGAACTTTCTCAAGTCGCACGAGAATGAGATCAGGTCGCTCGAGGGCGCCATGAAGGCTGCCAAGAAAGGGCTCTCGCGACGGGCTTTCCAAGATGTGCCACGGGAGTTGAGGAGGAGGACCGCAAGTCACAATCCGCAGCGCGTGCCGAAGAGATTGCGGGTCAGGGCGCGGCAGGAAGCTAAAGAAGACAACACACCCATTGCCAGGGGTACTAGTGGGAGTGGTATTGGGAAATGCAAGAAGAAGTTCCTGAGGAAGGAGGGGAGGGAGCAGAGTAGGCAGAAGGCGAAGAAGAGGAAGGATGACAGTGGGAAAGACGACGACGGAGACGCGAAGATGGAGGATGCGCCGAAGCAAGTCACGAAGCCCTCACCACCGAAGCCGAAGCGCAAGTTCCCGCCCTTGGCCACACCCGCTACCCCTCCATCGCGATTCCGCAGACGCCAGCGAGACAAGACCTGGCTTCCTACGCACCTGTGGCATACGAAGCGCGCAAAGATGACGGATCCGAAAGAGCCGCTCTGGCGGTTTGCGATACCGTTGCAGCCAGCGGTCAAGGCATACCGTCTCACACACAGAGCTGCAACCCAGCGGGGAGCTGTCGCGTGGGATATGAGCTACATGTCAACCCTCAGCCTGGAGGGTCCTAAAGCCAGTATAACGGGGCTACTCAAGGGTCTTCACTTCTCTGCAGAGGACACAGATGATCCATGGCAGAACAGAGGCAGGGCTAAGAAGTGGCGGAATGGCACTAGGACCTGGGAAGGCTGGATTTACGAAAGAGAAGCGAAGCCGTTGGTGAAGATCGCTCGTGTGACTGTCATCTGGTGTGCACCGCATGCAGATGGCAAAAAGACGAAAGCTTTCATTCGGGTGCATCCGGGCGCTTTCTTGCAGCTCTGGGAGGAAGTTGTTCGGACTGCTAAAGTACAGAAGCCAGCTGTTACCGTGCGAGATCTCCGCTTCGAAATTGGGTCTATTGAGATTGTAGGCCCGGCTGCTGCGGAGGCCCTCTGCTCTGTTCTTGCCCCTGTGCCTTCTCCTGAGGCTGGCTCTGATACTCTACAGTCAGTATGGCCGACTTTGGCCTCTGTGACGGACGCTGCATCGTTACCAGCCGGTGCGCTGTTGTCGTTTGATATTTCAGATCCCCGGCTTCGCGATCCTCCTCGCACTTCCCCGATAGCACACGATCAGCAGTCGCTGACCGCCTTGACTCAAACTCTCGCAACTTGGCCGCTGGACAATACCCCGACTCCAGCCTCGATCTTCGACACCAACAGCCGGCTAGCCGCACAGCGAACCATGCCATCTCAAAAGTCAATCAATCGCCGGAAGAGTGCATGCACACTTGGCGAGGACCCTGAGGCCCGATCCACAGACCCACGCATTCCGACACTTGTATTTGTGTCACGAGAAAGCAAGTCCTGGACTATCCTCCTCCCCTGGAAATGCGTGATGCCTGTATGGCGACAGATTATGCGCTACCCGGTTTCCACAGGCGGCAACCCCAGATTCGGCGGCTTGAAAGAGAGACGTCAGGTTGACTTTGGGCGCTCGAAGCCGCACTTCCCGTACGACCATCCTGGTACAGAGGCTGGTTGGGTCTGGGAAAAGCGTGAGCGTGAAGTGAGGAAGCACGAGTGGACTAAGTGTCCGAAGGGGAAGAGGATTGAATGGTCGACTATTGATCTTGGTAAGGGTAGGAAGGGCGAGATTGGAGATCCGTGGTCTTGCGACTGGCAGAGATTGATTGCAGATGTGTCTTCACGTCAAGAATCTCGAACTCCTGTCAGACAGCTCTCGTTCAGACAAGCAGCTGGTATGGTTGACGGCACGGCTTCGTCGAGCGGCTCGTCATTGCCATCAGATGTATTCACGGTCAAGATCACGATGGTCCAACGAGGCACCCCTACAGACTGCGCTCGCATCTACCGTCTGCCTAGCGACCCACAACTCCGTGGGCAATGGCTAGCCCGGCTGCCACAACCCGGCACGAAGCGCACGTCGACGAAGCAACAGAGTCGAGGTGTCGTTAAGCAGCCAGACCATATCCAGCGCAGGGATCTTGCAAGGAGTCTCCTAGACAACGGCCCACCGAGCGCTGGCGAGGAGAATTACCCTCTAGTGCCTGACGAAGTGGATCTCATCGGCTTCGTCACAACGGGCAACTACAACCTCGCAGAGGGCATGCCGACGGCGGTTGCGAATCTGGTAATGCACAAGGTGGTCGCCCCTGGGTCTGACTCGGGCGTGCCAAAATCGGATCGCGTGTGCATTGTGCGACAGGCGGGAAGTACCATCGGCAGGCTGGCGCGATGGGAGGTAGTCTAGGTAGCCAATATAGCCGTGGATAGATGCTCTGAATGATACCCATTGCTTGTAGCAGTCACATGCATCAGTGGAGACGCGCAGCTCCACCGCAGATTCTTGGGTGAACACGCAGTTCTCGGTGTGTGGGTGGGTGTGTGGGGTAGGCCAACTCTGGCTGCATGCGCTAAATCGGAGCCGGAGCAGGGATGCGCGATATCTCCCGTCGTGGCCGCTAACGTCTCAGCAACCATTTCTCCACGCCCTGAACACCATAGTCCACCACGCCCAGCTGCGTCATGTCTGAGGACCGCCCGGCAGACGACCAGGCCGAGGGCGTCGACGCTGCCGTCGGCCTGCCCTCGGACGCGCTGGCAGAATTGGTACGCCTGTCCGCCGCAAACCGCCTCCTCGGCTACTAACAATCGTGTCGCAGACGACCAACATCCTCGACGACTTGCTGAGCAACATCGTCTTCACCACGGCCCTGTCGTGCCACCGCTCCGAGAAGCTGCTCCGCATGCAGTCGGCGGCCACCCAGGCCGAATCCATCGCCCTCGCCAACCT